AAGGTACCTAGGGATTGGCAGAGAGCATGTATAGTCCCTTTATATAAAGGGAAGGGGGACAAAAGAGATTGTAAAACTTATAGAGGAATAAGTTTACTGAGTATACCAGGAAAAGTGTACAGTAGGGTTATTATTGAAAGAATTAGAGGTTAGACAGAATGTAGGATTGCATACACAAATAACCCGCACATAAAAGAGAGAAGCTTACGACGACGTTTCGGTCCGACTTGGACCATTGACAAAGTCACACTAACAGAGGTGGAGCAGGACGGCTATACATAGGCAGGAAGAGGTGGAAGTAGTAGTAGTTAGTAGTAGTAGTACAAAAATTGTATATAATACCGACAAGATGAAATTAAGACACGTGCACAACACCCGGGCATCCCCATCGTAGACGTTTCGCCATCCAGCCAGCCACTGGATGGCGAAACGTCCACAACAAAGACAACCAGACGCCGCACATGTGTCTTAATTTCATCAGTAGTTGTAGTAGTAGTAGAAGAAGAAGAGGTAGTAGTAGTGGTAGTGGTAGAAGTGGGAAATAAGGATGACGAGCCAGTCAAAAACAAAGGAAGGGGAGCACTGCAAGAGAGCTAGATGCCCACAGAGGGAGAGCAAGCGCACAGAGGTGCGTGAAAGGGGAAGTGGTGAAATAAAATAAATGAAGAAGGAACAGAAACACGAGACAGGAGAGAGAAAGACAACCCAGAGGAGAAGAGGAAAGGGGAAGAGGAAGAAAAAAGAAAGAAAAAATGAGGATTCAGGTTAAGTCATGGGTGTTCTGAAGTTTAGAGCATTTTACAATGTCAATGGTCCAAGTCGGACCGAAACGTCGTCGTAAGCTTCTCTCTTTTATGTGCGGGTTATTTGTGTATCGTTCCAGTCACGGTATTGTGCCTTTTTGTTATTTATTTGTAGGATTGCAGATGAGCAAGGAGGTTTCAGAGTGGGTAAGGGATGTGTAGATCAAGTGTTTACATTGAAGCATATATGTGAACAGCATTTAGATAAAGGTAGGGAAGTTTTTATTGCATTTATGTATTTAGAAAAGGCATATGATAGCAGATAGGGGAGCAATGTGGCAGATGTTACAAGTATATGGAATAGGTGGTAAGTTACTAAATGCTGTAAAGAGTTTTTATGAGGAAAGTGAGGCTCAGGTTAGGGTGTGTTGAAGAGAGGGAGACAATTACTCGGTAAAAGTTGGTCTTAGACAGGGATGTGTAATGTCACCATGGTTGTTTAATATATTTATAGATGGGTTTGTAAAAGAAGTAAATGCTAGGGTGTTCAGGAGAGGAGTGGGATTAAATTATGGGGAATCAAATACAAAATGGGAATTGACACAGTTACTTTTTGCTGATGATACTGTGCTTAAGGGAGATTCTAAAGAAAAATTGCAAAGGTTAGTGGATGAGTTTGGGAGTGTGTGTAAAGGTAGAAAGTTAAAAGTGAACATAGAAAAGAGTAAGGTGATGAGGGTATCAAATGATTTAGATAAAGAAAAATTGGATATCAAATTGGGGAGGAGTATGGAAGAAGTGAATGTTTTCAGATAGTATTTGGGAGTTGACGTGTCAGCGGATGGATTTATGAAGGATGAGGTTAATCATAGAATTGATGAAGGAAAAAAGGCAAGTGATGCGTTGAGGTATATGTGGAGACAAAATACGTTATCTATGGAGGCAAAGAAGGGAATGTATGAAAGTATAGCAGTACCAACACTCTTATATGGGTGTGCAACTTGGGTTGTAAGTGCTACAGTGAGGAGGCAGTTGTTGGCAGTGGAGATGTCCTGTTTAAGGGCAATGTGCTGTGTGAATGTTATGCAGAAAATTCGGAGTGTGGATATTAGGAGGTGTGGAGTTAATAAAAGTATTAGTCAGAGGGCTGAAGAGGGGTTGTTGAGGTGGTTTGGTCATTTAGAGAGAATGGATCAAAGTAGAATGATATGGAGAGCATATAAATCTGTAGGAGAAGGAAGGCGGGGTAGGGGTCATCCTCGAAAAGGTTGGAGGTAGGGGGTAAAGGAGGTTTTGTGGGTGAGGGGCTTGGACTTCCAGCAAGTGTGCGTGAGCGTGTTTATTAGGAGTGAATGGAGATGAATAGTTTTTGGGACCTAACGATCTGTTGGAGTGTGAGCAGGGTAATATTTAGTGAAGGGATTCAGGGAAACCGGTTATTTTTATATAGCCGGACTTGAGTCCTGGAAATGGGAAGTACAGTGCCTACACTTTAAAGGAAGGGTTTTGGGTACTTGCAGTTTGGAAGGGCATCTAAACTGTCATATCTGAATGCCTTTGCAAAGATAGTGATTATGTATGCGTGATGGTGAAAGTGTTGAATGAGGATGAAAGTCTTCTTTCTTTCTTCTTGGGTTTTTCTTTCTTTTTGGGTCACCCTGCCTCGGTGGGAAATGGCTGATGTGTTGAAAAAAAAATTAACCTAAGGTAATCCAGTATGGTCATACAATGTGAATTATTTCCATGTTTCGAGGAGTATTACACTTTGAAGGAACTGTAATAATATAAGTGTTCTATATAAATAGTTTTAGAAGTAGTTAAAAATAGAATAAAAACAATTATTCACCAATATACTGTACACTGTATACAGGTCTCCATCAACATTCACGAGGTTAGGGGATCAAACCTCGCAATGTTGAAAAAACGTGAATGTTTGGTGCCCCAATATATTGTAGGGAAATATAATACAATACTGCTTCCTTAACTTGTTGAACCATGAACAATCATAAAATACATGAAAACGTCGTCAATTGTACTAAATACATACGTTATGCCTCACAACATGTAGTTTAAATACCACTGCTCCACCCCTGCATCCCTACTACCCTCCCCCCGACCCCCACAACTGGCAGCCAGCTCTCCCACCACTGTGTGGTGAGTGTTTTGTTTGTTCATTATTTGCTATTAAATTAGAGTATAAATAATGTCAACCCATTTATGACTGCATATTGGAATGGCTATTCGGACAGGTATTGGAAGGTGACATCATGTGTTTACTCTTGAACACAGCAAAGAATCAAACATTTGTGCTGCTGCTAATAATAGTAATAATAATAATAATAATATAAAAATAATAATAATAACAATAATAATAAATACGATAGAATTGAAGAAGGAAATTGTACAAAAATACGAGGGCTGAAGCAGTGGTGGAGGAAGTGGTTGACACAGCGTCAGTGTGGCTTTGTTTATGCTGGAGTGAGTATTAGTCTCCGTGCTCTTCCAAACATTTCACAATAATTCATTGTATTTGGTGCTTGTAGATTGAGTGTGACTGGAGTGGTTGAGGCAGTGGTAGAGGCAGTGGGTGAGGCAGCAGTTGAGGCAGTGGGTGAGGCAGTGGTATTTACTAACATATATGTTATAAATAATAATAGTACATGTTAATATTAATAACAATAATAATAATAATAATAATAATAATAATAATAATAATAATAATTAGTTATTCATAATGTACTATTATTATTTATAACATATATGTTAGTAAATATCACTGCCTCTACCACTGCCTCTACCACTGCCTCTACCACTGCCTCTACCACTGCCTCTACCACTGCCTCTATCGCTGCCTCTATCGCTGCCTCTATCGCTGCCTCTATCGCTGCCTCTATCGCTGCCTCTATCGCTGCCTCTATCGCTGCCTCTATCGCTGCCTCTATCGCTGCCTCTATCGCTGCCTCTATCGCTGCCTCTATCGCTGCCTCTATCGCTGCCTCTATCGCTGCCTCTATCGCTGCCTCTACCACTGCCTCTACCACTGCCTCACCCACTGCCTCACCCACTGCCTCACCCACTGCCTCTACTACTGCCTCTATCATTGCCTCTACCACTGCCTCAACCACTCCAGTCACACTCAATCTACAAGCACCAAATACAATGAATTATTGTGAAATGTTTGGAAGAGCACGGAGACTAATACTCACTCCAGCATAAACAAAGCCACACTGACGCTGTGTCAACCACTTCCTCCACCACTGCTTTAGCCCTCGTATTTTTGTACAATTTCCTTCTTCAATTCTATCGTATTTATTATTATTATTATTATATTAATATTATTATTATTATTATTAGCAGTAGCACAAATGTTTGATTCTTTGCTGTGTTCAAGAGTAAACACATGATGTCATCTTCCAATATCTGTCCGAATAGCCATTCTAATATGCAGTCATGGATGGGTTTACATTATTTATACTGTAGTTTAACAGCAAATAATGAACAAACAAAACACTCACCACACAGTGGTGGGAGGGCTGGCTGCCAGTTGCAGGGGTCGGAGGAAGGGTAGTAAGGACTCGTGGCAGTAAACTTAAATATGATTTGGCAGCTGGGAATTTGGCGGCTGGGAATTCGCGAATGTGTGAAGCCCGCAAAAGTTGAAAACGCGAATGTTGAGGGAGACCTGTATTCCAAGTGGAGCACTATTGGACTAAGCATTTCCTCGTGTTTGAAGTGCTAAAACATTTTTAAACACATCCTTAAGCTTTTTCCCTCCTGTGTTTTTGGTCCCACCATTGTAAGCCATTAGCTCTCCCACAGTGCTACTTCTTCTTGTCCCTAGACAATTCTACTACCACTACTACTATTTCCTCACTTCACTCCGTTTCTGTCTATCCCTACTTAATACCACCACCCACCACCACGATGATGAATAAGAGACCCTAGGACTGCCTTGTAACACCCTTATGTTGATCAGTGAGTATTGTCATTAATAGTCACACATCCTGTATGATCCTTGTAGGTTTAGTGCTTCTTTTTTATTATAATAATAATAATAGTCACACATTGGTATCTGTTCTTAAGATAGAACCTTATGCATATAAGAACATGGCTTCTGATTCCATAATTTTCTAATTATAATAAGCAGGATGTGGTCTTTCCCACAAAAAAAAAAAAAAAGATTAAACTGGTAGATCAGTTTATTACTAAATATAATATGCTAAATTGAATTAGGCTAATATTTTTATGAAATTTTAGATGGAGTTACTTCAAGATTTCTATGAAACCACACTAGAAGCCTTAAAGGATGCTAAAAATGACAGACTGTGGTTCAAAACAAACACCAAATTAGGCAAGCTGTATTTTGATCGAGAAGATTACACAAGACTCTCAAAGATTTTGAAACAACTCCATCAATCTTGTCAGGTAAGTTATGTTTTTTTCTGTTTTATACTAGTGCAAATAATAATATAATACAGTGGACCCCTGCATAACGATATTAATCCGTTCCTGAGAGCTCATTGTTATGCGAAATTATTGTTATGCGAATGAATTTTCCCCATAAGAAATAATGGAAATCAAATTAATCCGTGCAAGACACCCAAAAGTATGAAAAAAAAAATTTTACCACGTGAAATATACATTTTCCTACACACAAAGAGAAGGATACATGCACAATAGTAGAGTAGTACATGCACAATATATATTGTGCATGTACTACTCTACTAAATGAAGAAAAAATGACACTTACCTTTATTGAAGATGCAGCAATGACTGATGAGACACTGTGTCCTGGGAGTGCCTTTTCCTCCTGAGTACTGTAGGTCCTGTTTGGCATTTTCTTCCAGAACAGGCCTTATCACACTGTGTATGCCACTACGATTCTTAAATCTCTCAAACCAACCTTTGCTGGCTTTAAATTCACCAATATGAGCACTAGTTCCAGGCATTTTTCCCTGTTCACCTGGGTGTTAGTCGACTGGTGTGGGTTGCATCCTGGGAGACAAGATTAAGGACCCCAATGGAAATAAGTTAGTCTTCGATGACACTGACTTTTTTGGGTTATCCTGGGTGGCTAACCCTCTGGGGTTAATTGTTTCTTGGTATTCTCAATAAGCCACACCAACAACGGTGCTACAGCAGCAGCAGCAGCTGACAGTGCTACAGCAGCAGCTGACAGTGCTACAGCAGCAGCAGCAGCTGATGGTGGTACAGCAGCAGCAGCAGCTGATGGTGCTACAGCAGCAGCAGCTGATGGTGCTACAGCAGCAGCAGCAGCTGAGTGCTACAGCAGCAGCAGCTGAGTGCTACAGCAGCAGCAGACGGTGCTACAGCAGCAGCTGACGGTGGTACAGCAGCAGCAGCAGCTGACGGTGGTACAGCAGCAGCAGCAGCTGACGGTGGTACAGCAGCAGCAGCAGCTGACGGTGCTACAGCAGCAGCAGCAGCTGACAGTGCAGCAGCAGCAGCAGCTGACGGTGCTACAGCAGCAGCAGCAGCAGCTGACAGTGCTACAGCAGCAGCAGACGGTGCTAGAGCAGCAACAGACGGTGCTACAGCAGTAGCAGACGGTACTACAGCAGCAGCAGCTGACGGTGGTACAGCAGCAGCAGCAGCAGCAGCTGATGGTGCTACAGCAGCAGCAGCAGCAGCAGCTGACAGTGCTACAGCAGCAGCAGCATCAGCAGTTGACCATTGTACCACAGTATTTCGATAATATTCCTCACCCTTTTTACCACAGGGTTGGCACTAGAAGCTTTCTTGGGGCCCATGGTCACTTATTTTGCAGATAAAATCACCAAAAACGCTGTAATAATATGAAATGTTCCGATTGTATGCTTGGATGTTACCGCAGAGGCTGGCTTGTAAACAATGCCACCGGCGGAACGTGAGGCTGGCTCAGGCCGCACATTAGACGCGTCTCGGACGAATAGCGTTGAGCGGGTTTTTTAGCGGTATGCGAGGCAAAATCTTAGCGATAAAATGTATCAGTATGCGGATTTAACATTATGTGATGCCAACGGTATGCGGGGGTCCACTGTACTTCATTTCTTATCAGTGGAAAGCCAAAATATTGGAATTGAATTTCTTGGAAACTGAAAACTCTTGACCTTTGGAAAATTGTAAACTAAATCGTTAGGAAAAAAACAGCTTTTCGATAAAAAGAAGTATTTGACCCTTAACCCTTAAACGGTCCAAAGAGATCGACGTTCAAATTCGTAGTGCTACAAGAGTAGATCTACTTTTTTTTACATATTTTCAAATATAACAAAAAAAAAAATGTAGATAAAAGTTTTTTTACACATTTTCAAATGTAAAACAAAAAAGAAGATCTACATTTTTTTACATACTTTCAGATGTTGAAAAAACGTATATATACGTTTGGACCATTTAAGGGTTAATTTACTTATCAATACTATATATTTAAGGGTTAATTTACTTATCAATACTATATATTTAAGGGTTAATTTACTTATCAATACTATATATTTAAGGGTTAATTTACTTATCAATACTATATATTTAAGGGTTAATTTACTTATCAATACTATATATTACAAGGCATTTTAAACTAAATAACTATTTATTCACAGTGTATGCTGAGCACCTAGATTAGTGGGGAAATGCAATGCAACTTTGGTTAGCAGTGTAGCAAACATTCTAATTATTTTTTAGTCTTATTTTTTAATAAATGCATTAATTTTATGTATGCTGTTTTTTATGCATACATGAGTGGCTCATATTTGCTCGTTAAACATTAGTGAAGACTTAAATTTAATAATTAAATATTTTTTTAACCCTTAACTCTGGCATACCTGGAAAAGAAAGTTCCTGTGTGTATGGCAGAGATTTTGAAGTACATTTTTCTGACTCGGACAAAAATGAGTGGCATCTGATAAAAATTTTAACATTTTATGTTGTGTTGAAGTTGGCTGAAATTGATTCACTGTTGGCAACATTCGTGCTACATTGCCAATTAGTTATTTCAGGTTTCCATTTTTTCTCGGCCAAGTAAAATGTGACTGTTTTATGTTATGCACTGGTTAATGCTCAGTACCATCATTTTCCAATGAAAATATCGTGATTTCAAGCAAAATATTACTAAGTAGGTTGGGAAGCACACAGCACCTTGAGAAAACTATCAGTATTTGCTATAAATCTGGACAAACCTATGGTTTATCTTAATATCTAATGATTGTTTCTGTCATGCAACAGTATGTAGTTTTTTTTTTTTCAACAAGTCGGCCGTCTCCCACCGAGGCAGGGTGACAGGTTTTTATTATCACATTAAACTGTTTCATTTTATGATATTCCTAAAACATGGCTTGAGGCACAATGAAATACCACACAGCTTACCGATGTATAGTGTATCTGTTAGCTTGCTTGGATTTCTACTTGTGTGCTGATGTACATAATGTATTTCTGCCTCCTCCTCCTCCTCCTCCTCCTCTGTAGTAGAAATAGTATCAGGAAAGTATGCACCAGGCTTCACCCAAAATGTATGACTTTCACAGTCATGGTGGTGACATATTGGCTGAGCCTTCACCTGGTATTTTTGTATTCTCTCTCTCATGACAAATAAATGGAAATCAATCAGTTTGGGTTTGTGTTCTATTTTCACCTGGAATATACTGTATGCATTTAGCACTGCAGCATCCAGCAGATGGGGAAAAAACATTCATATACCACTTGCAGCTCCTCCTGACACTCCACAAACCAAACTCATGTTGGTGTTATAGTCAGTTAATGCAAATGGTTTTACAATAGGTTCATCTGTTTGCCAGTCAACCTTTCAGGTTTCTTCATTTGATTCCCATATATGGTCATCAATATTGCCACAGCTCTCCTGTCATGCTTTTGAAATGCCATCATGTCTTGGTATGAAACATCTGCACTTCACTGGTATCCAGTGATTATGTGAATGACAGCATTTGTTTTTTATCTCCTCTCTGCCCTGCACATATCTGCATTGTTCACCTTGCTGCAGTCACAAAGAGATGGGCTTGTGTACCAATTATCTGGCTCCATCATATTCCTCACAACTTCACCACACTGCTATGTTGCATTTCTCTGCTTTTATCCGAGAAATGCAACATATGCAGCAGCAAGAGAAAGCAGTCGATGGGCATGATTTCACCTGAAGCTGGTGTTGTTATAAATCTGTCTGTGCTCCTTTACTTAGATAACTATTCTTATGGGTGTGTGGAACCAGCATTACTGTTGCAAAGAAGAGATACAGCAGTAGTATCCTACTTTTGAAGCTGTGATTTCAGTGAAACATGAGAGTTGGCCAATATGTACTTAGTAATTTTTTGGGGGGGAAGGCAACTTTAATAATTATCAGTATGTCATCGAAGAATAACTGAAGGTAGTCAAGTTCAGTGTAATCATCTGTTATAGGACAGTTAAGCTGAATTTATTTTTTTTTTTCAATAAACTGGCCATATCCCACCGAGGCAGGGTGACCTAAAAAGAAAAATGAAAGTTTCTTTTTAAATTTAGTAATGTGTACAGGAGAAGGGGTTACTAGCCCCTTGCTCTTGGCATTTTAGTCGCTTCTTAGGCATGCATGGCTTACAGAGGAGGAATTCTGTTTCACTTCCCCATGGAGACCTTTAATTATTACTGTCATCAAATTATAAAATCTTAGGAACAAATTAAGTAATTTCCTGCCAACTTCCATACCCTGTTGGTCTGTCAAAGTATAATATTTGCTGTATAATATGGCTGTTGTCACAATGTTGGCGCTGTAAATGGCTTTCTGATACCAATGAAGCACCATCAATATCACAGTCATTGTCCTTCAAACAGGACAGTATCTTCCACTCTAGATGTGCTACTGTAGAATAGTGAAACAGCACACAACCAAGAGCCAGACCTGATACGACACCCAGCCAGTCTTCATTTCATGGGCAAATATTCCGCATCACTATCACTATCCTTACATATGTACTCCACTCCATTGTCATCACTCACATCACTCGAATCAGTAGCCAATTCAGGGGTAAATAGCTGTTTGCATCTCCTTTCTTGTGTGGCAGAATCAGAGGTGGGTGCCACCTCTATATTTTGTGTTGAACTAGCACTTCTTTCATTACTGGTTGTACCATTATTTCTGTCCCCCTTCAAAACTGGAAAATGATCTTCCATTGTCACCCTCCTCAATGTCACTGGTGTCTTAATTGAGCAGTATTTCTACTGCAAGAAAAGTTGGTGTCAGCCAGTCATTGTGAGCCTGTTTACTGGCTGGTTAATACAGTGGTCCCTCGTTTATCGTTGTTAATCCGTTCTTGGAAGTGCGACGATTATCGAAAAAGAAGATTTTCGAATCAGTTTTCCCCGTAAGAAATAATGTAAATACAATTAATCCGTTCCTGACACCCAGAAGTATTAAAACAAAAAATTTTACATGAAATATAGATGTA